CACGTGTCAGGGGCGGAAAAATGGCCGCGGACCACGTGTCAGGGGCGGAAAAATGGCCACGGACCACGTGTCGGGCGGAAAATGGCCGCAGACCATGTGTCGGGCGGAAAAATGGCCGCGGACCATGTCACAGGAGGGAAAATGGCCGGGTATCCTGTTCATACCCCGAGGCGGAGTTCACAAACCAAAGCAAAATTTTGCGGCCAGAGCTGGTTGTAACCTGAAAAGTTCGTTAACAGAAGCGTTCGTAATCCGAGGTTCCACTGTATCTTGCAAATGAGGTGGGAACCAAGGTGCTTCTGAATTTGTTTCGCTCCGGCATCAACACTACTTGCATGTCACTGAAGTGGCTCACGCATGTGCCCGGCAGTCTACGGTGTATTACTCAGCCATCATGGTCATGATGATTTCAGTAGTATGACTCTTGTGCTGTAACATAGGAAGTTATTTAAAAAGTAGAAATCAAATTAAATCTAAATATAGGCATTGATTTGTGACCAATGTAACTAGCATATTATGTGAAACCATTCTCTCCTTAGGGGAGATTGTAGCATGCTGTCTCTTCATCCTATTTCATTGGGTAGCTTTGCTTGGCTTAGCTTCTCCTTTTCCTGCCTCCACTAATTAATCTATTCTGCCCCATCAAGCCATTAAAGCAAGACTGAAAGGCAGAGGCCAAGAGGTCACTGAAGGGAGTAAGAAGGAATGTCCTCCCTGCAAAAATGCATGGCTGACTTACCACATTATGAAGTGAAATGAGGCACATTCTCACAGCCTTCCCCAACCTGGATGCCCTCCAAATGTATGGACTTTGGTTTTCAGATTGTCAAACAGCTTGGCCATTGCTGAGAATTGGTTCTGGGAGTTGAGGTCCATATACGTATCTGGAAGCACCCAGTCTGCTTTACTATCTGAAAAGTATCTTCCCCAAATGTGTGTCTTCCCCTGTTAAAACTATGTCTAAAATGATCTCACGGGACCACAACTTTTGCTAGTACTGAGCTGAAATGGTCCACATTGTGATTCAGGTGATCACTCATACAGGTGAAGTTTCTTTAACCATGGTTTATAGAAAAGTTTAAATTGGCTGGGTTTACACAACATGCTAAGTTAAACCATGCAAACTGCATGTAAGATGTGAACCCAGCCTGGGAACTGAAAAGGCATTTCAGGCATATGGGCAGAATGGCCATTTCTACCACATTAGCAGGGTAGAGGAGTTTTGGGACTACAAACACCTGATGCCACTAAACATTTCAACCCTAAGTTGTATCCTCTTGTCATTTCCAATAATCTTAGTCAAACAAATCATGCAACTGGATTTCAAGTGTGCTTGTTCTTCAGCTAGGAAAACACTTAATGCAATGTTAGCATCACATGATTTGTTACTAGATATTACTGGGCAAAATACAAAGCTGCTTCTTTGTAGGGCAACTGGGGGTATTTTCCAGAACAACTAGGGGTGTTTTTGCCTTGTCTGAAAGGAACTAGCTCTTTGATTCCTTCTATTTCTGGAATAAACATTAGCTTCCAGTATTATGCTTTATTTCTTGCAAGAAACAGTATGGGAAACATACTTTCCCCATAGTCCCTTCCATTTTTTATCAGATTCTGCAATTGCAGGAACAGAATTTACTTTTCACTTCCTCCAATAAATGTATGCAAGTGGATCTTTCAGGTTCTGGAGCCATCAACTTGATCCTCTTCGACCACAGTTAGAAACCAATGATGCCAGGAACCCAGTTTCCTGTGGGCAGACTTGATGAGCCCAGGAGAAATGCCTGAAAAGCTTCATGTTCCCTGCACCCCCCTGCTTAGGGTCTTTGGACTTAGCACATTCTGAAGATAAAGCAGGGGATACTGGCTTCCTGCCTCATTCTACACAGAAGCAAAGTCAGATGAAGGCTGTGCTTTAAAGAGCTCCTGCAAGTACACCCTTGCCTGAGGTGATGGGAACTTCAGGATGGTCTTTGGGGAAGAAGAGTAAGAGATGGGCTTGCTTCATGCACCAGAGTAAATGGAGCTGCTCTCAATATGCAGCATGGCCCTAGGGCTCCCTCCTGGCCTAGGATTCTTGTGTTCCTTAGACATATTTGCATCTGCTTGGTTTGGTTACAGAGGCAAATATTTTTTATTTTTGAAAAATAATCATGTATTTAGTTTTAGTCAGAAGAAAACAAAACTAGATTTTGCTGGTGGACACTCTGATCATTGAAGCATCTTCTATTGCTGTGGGTGTACACTTTGGGTGGTGTGCTAAAAGAAATTATTACCTCTTGCTGCCTAGGGTAGCATCACAATACAATCTCAAGTAGGGCTTTTTACACCACAGAAGGCTGCAGGAGTTGAATAAGCATGCTATCATCAGGTTAATGCAAAAACAGTTTGACAGCAGGATGTGACATTTGAAAGCAGGAGAAGGGATCATGCAGGAAATGCATATTTAGTTTAAACAGTGCCAAGATTGACATGTGAGGTCAACTAAACTGGACTTCGCTTCTACTTGGAAATGCTTCCTATCTTTCACTATGACATGACAGTACATTATTAGAGAGCAAAGAATGAACGTAAAACTGGTGTGACTATAAATAGACCTGTAGTTAGACCAAAACTTTTGAAGGGAACAGAGAAAGAATTGGGGGTGGGAGGCTGCTTGTTTGAGCCACATTATTGGGCACATTATTTTGAGCCATACAATTGGGCATACTATTTAAGTGGAAACATTTGGAGGCCAAAAGAGATTTGCGGAGTGCTCTCCAGCCCTCCCTAGTTATGAGCCTGGCTGTAAGACAGTGCTGTATTCATTACAATGCCTTCATACTTTTGGATTCTAAGCCCCATCACACAGGAAAATGTTAGAGTTCATACTTGATGGTTTGCTTGTATCTCCACAAGAAGAGAACTGTTGTGTAAACTCAATACAGTTGGGGTTCTTGTAACATGAAATTTGAAGGACAACATCTTGATGATAATTAATTAGTTCTGTTGCTATCAATCCGCAAAGATCTTATTTATCAGTAGACACAGGTTGTTTGCCTGCAATCATTTCAATTAATCAATATAAACTCATATATATTCACATTTAATGTTAAATATAGTTTAAAGATCAGAAACTTTGATTAGCCAGTGATTGACACTTCTTAGGTATTTTATGTGTGAACTGCTGTTCCTGTTATAAATTCTCTCAAAATTTGTTGAGACCCTAAGTGGCAGTAGTAGTAGTAGAAGTCATAATTTGCAGTCTTTCATCGGAGCCCTATTATAAAATAGTGTTAATCTTATTTCAGTGTAGTACTTGAATCTGAATGGTTCATCAACTTTCTTTGTAATTCCAGGGTGCTTTCTGATTACTGCAATTAGTAGATAGTATGCAGTTATTCTATCTCTTTTTCCTTAATGGATTTTTGTGTGAGGAAAAAGTAAAATATATATATATATATTAATGCATTATATCTTGTTTGGCAAAAAAGCAATCAGAGGGGGGGGGGAAAGTAGATAAATTTTCAACATGATTCTTTGTGTGTGTGTGTGTGTGTGTGTGTGTGTGTATACATACATATATATATACATACATACATACTCATTAAATGTACCAAATTTCCTGAAAGTTATGTAGTGATAAAGGAGATGGGGTTAATTTGGCAAATATATTATTTGATGTGTCCCCCTAAAAAAATAAAAGTCTATAGGTTAAGGACTTTATTACTCTATCTGTAGCAGAAAACATTAGCGTGATAAGAAAGTAAAGTACAGGTAGTCCCTTGGTCAAGAACACCTGGTTTACGGACAACCATAGGTAAGTACGGAGCCTATTTCAGCAAAATTCAAGTTAAATACAGCATGATTCGAGTTAAATACACAATGGTTTGAGTTAAATACACAATACTACTTATAAAGTATTATACAATAATACTCTTCAAGCTTACATACAAATTTGACTTAAGGACAGACCTTGGGAATGGAATTCGTTCTTAAACTGAGGACTACCTCAAGTTGTCTGCTTCCCAGAGCAAATGGGAAGTGATATTGTAAAATATATCTGGTCTAAATCTGTATTCACATATAATCTTATTATGCCTTTTTAATCAGAGTTTTGTTCTTCATCTTATACTATAATAATATAAGAAAGCTCTTTAGAATAATAAGAAAAGAGTAATGTTTTGTCTTTCACTTTTTTGGTTTTTTCAAATTAATACCCTGCTAATTTAAACACCTTCTCAGTTATATAGGGGATTGTGAAATTCACATGGAGCTCTCCAAGCTTAAAGTAGGAGTGAAAGGACTACAGGTAGGTACAGAACAACTTTAGTATACATTTTAAAGATATTTCATATTTTTTCCTTCCTGGTGATTAATTCAATATTATTTCCTTAATCTTTTTTCTTCAGTTGTATGGAACATTACGAGTAATCCTGGAGCCCCTTCTGACAGATATACCCTTTTTTGGAGCTGTAACCATGTTTTTTATACAGAAACCTGTAAGTCAATTCTGATACACCATTATAGAAATAGGAGGAGGAGAGCCATGTTAGTCTGTGGTGGCAAAAAATCAGGAGTCTGGTAGCACGTTTTCCAGCTAACAAATTTTATTAAAAGGCATAAGATTTTAATTTGTTAGTCGAAAAAGGTACTACCAGACTCCTGATTTTTTGCCAATTTAGAAATAGTGTCCTTACATATTTGGACTGCTGATCTACATATTGTTTTATAATAGAATTGTGAATGTCCTTCTAAAATGTAAAAGATTATTTCTTCTTCCCAATCATAATTTTAAACAAAGAATCCCAAAACAAAACAAACAGGAAGATAGCTTTGAAACATGTTATGAGAGTAATTCAGAAATAGTGCTACTGAAGGAGTTCAGTTTATTTCACTTCAAATATTTCACTGCAGCTTTTCGAAGAAATACTCCCCATGATAGCTCGCGTATAGAAATAAAAGTATTAAAACTTTAAAGAAAAATATTCAGTACTAAAAGAGCAGTTTAAAATACTATACAACCTAGTCTAGCACTCATAAAACTAAATTGAAACAATTTAAAGGAAAAGTAACCCAACAATTAATAGTGTTAAGTAAAGAATTACATTCAGGCTAACATCCAAGAACCAAGTGGGTTTTCAAGACCCATCTAAAACAATAAACATGAATCCAAGCACATGTTTCCTGGGCCTGAGTTTCACACATTTGAAACCAATTCTAAAAAGACATCCATACTGCCAGCTTGCCCCGGGGTGAAGATGGGCCAACCACCATTTCAGGTGAGCAG